TTCCTGAGAGCTTGGCTGATCCACTGTGAACAAATCCTTGCTACCTCACTCAGGAAATAAACTGTTTTCTGAATCAATTTTATTAAAGCAGGTAGCAAAGTGTAGCCTATCTTTGTGGAACAGTCTTCAGAATATTACCTATATAACTCCTTGCCCACACAGAATTGTTCATACATCACACACACAAACATGAACTACTTTTTACTTTGGAAATGGTCTAAAAGATACTTTCTTCACTAAACTCTCATCCAATCTGAAATATGCTTAGTTTTAAAGTCCATGGCTTCTATTTCCGATCTGAGAGAGGGTCTACATGTCCACATACCTAGTTTTCCACACTATATCAATTAATCTAATAAAATTATTACCACTACCCACAAATCCTGCCCTTCCAAGACAATCCGAAAAATATCAGAATCTGAAAAACCAGCCAGAGCACATCCCTATGCACTGTATGAATAACTGGGGTTTGGCTAACCAACTCCAAAATAAAGCACAATGCAGCAAAGAGAAACTTTAAAGATTAAAAGTAAGAGTGCACACCACTAAGGGGATTCTTCAAAAGCAAAGTCAACTCAATTTTCTTGCACTCATAACTCAAATATATGAACTGGAGCACAAATTGCTTTTAAAATATATTGAAAAAAACCCTCTCAACCCAACACAGTGAGGTTCCTGAAAAATAAAATTAGTATTTCCAAAGAAATAGCACTTACACCATCATGGTGTGCATGTCAATGTGCAAACACAGAAATGTTGGCAGAAGAATAGAGGTCTCAGAGATGCCGAGTTCTTATAAGCCTCCTAAAAACAGACAGATAAAAGAAAGAAATCTATTGCAGCTTCCACTAAGAATGGTCCAGAGGGAGCCCCACTGAACTGCTGGATACCAAATAATCCACATGGGGCTTGGATATCTAATGAGCTGTAAACAAACAAAGTCACAAGTAAAGGCTTCATTAGTTTTGCTCCTTATAGAACCATTAGATGTGCTTTTTAATGTGTTATTAATTCACTGAACTCATTGCCAAAAGATGGGAGCTATGGACTTAACACAAAAAAAACATGAATTCATGGAGAATGCTAGCAAGCTTTATGTTTGAGAAGTAAAGAGATACAAATGAAAGCCTAATTTTAGCACAGTAAGATAAACAGAGGAGTTAAAGAAACAACTTTATGGACACTTCCACAGCATCTGATACCATCCCTCTAGAGGAATTTTGCAACAGACAAACTAATCCCAGAATCACTCCACCAAAAGTAACTTGCATGTCTCAGAAATTCTCTTACATGATTTGAATCAATTCCTGCTCAGGCAAGCCTTCTCTCCTACAAGCATGACTGACAAGATTTGATACCTAATCACTGAAGTACCATTCATTTTCTATCCCCAATTCCTAAGAACTCAAAATTTAACAGCTAGAATAAACAGAAGTTATCACATATCACATCACTGATGCATCTTCATTCTGCTCATCATCTCTTTTACTCTTTCTAGGCATTGTGAACACTTGGAGTTTGGGTTTTAGTCTATCCAGTGGTTTGGTTTTTTTTGGATAGTTTCATTCTGGAGAAGCCACGACTTTTGAGATGAAATTTTCTAATTTAAATAGTCATGGCTCAAGCTCGTGCAACCAGTGCAAATCAGTCAGGCAATTCCCCTCACATCACTGAGAATTTATGGACTCAGATTGTATGTAGACCATGACCAGATGTTGCACCCTTGGATAAAACCAATACAGCCACACTTTCTGCTCATCCAGAGGCAGTGATTTCAAGAAAGTTTGATGGATGGCCAAGTTCTGGCTTCGCTCATACCAACATGATTAAAATTCTCTTAGGGTGAACCCAGGTGTTACATCACTGCAAAATATGCAAATTGAACACAGAACTGTAGTCTGAAAGTTTCAATTCTCCTGTTTTCTCTCATCTAAAAATAAAGGCTGTATGTGTTGGAAGACATCTCCTCCCAACGGAAACTACTAGGATAATGAAGAATTGCTTACTGCTCTTCCTTTTCTTCTCTGATGAGCACCTGATCATTTCCCTCACTGCTTCTATGTAACAGGACATTCTGGTAGATGAGAGGTTTTAAAACAGGACAACCACTTTGGAAACTGTGCTGCCAGGTACCATTTTCTAACTCACTTCCCTCCAAAAAACCCCCACACTTCTACATTGTGTTTGTGGCAGATTAGTCATCCATAAGACTGAGTTGTTCAGAAACAATTTACAATAAAATTTGGTCCTCCCCCATAATATTAATTTTACTGGTGAGGCAGGAACTATCTTCTCATTCTACTATCTTCATATTGCCAACATGATTAAAAAAAATCTCAAAATATTACATTGTAGAACGTCCAAGAACACAAGAAGAAAAAGTGATTCTATGTATTAAATGCTCAGTATTTAAATTGCAGATCCAAGAACATTCAGCTTCTCCCTCTCACTTGGAACATTTGAAACAAAATAAAGCAAACAAACAAAACCTAAGCCAGCTTGTACATATTTGTATTTCTGGATAAATGTTAAGAATTCCATGAGAAATCTGGAACTCTAAGTAGGTATTGCCCTTGGCTGCACATTTCTATTTGCTTTGAGTTAATTCGTAAGGAGGTCAAACCAATGAAGAACTCAGTTTACACTGAAAGAGTAACACTCCTTGTAGAATGTGTACGAGTTGCAAATCAAGTGATAATGTTCGGAGCTGCCACACAGAGTCAGGAAAGTTTCACACAATGTTTGGGAAAAAATCAGAAATAGTCCTATCTCTGGCAGAGTCACCATATGGAGTTTACTGCACTAACATACGTTTTGGCCACTCAGCATAGCTCTGCTGCCAACAATGATAGACTGAACTGTTCCTTTACAAGATACATTCCTATACCCAGACAGAAAATCCTGGCCAGAGAGGGTCAGACAGTTCATCTGAATCTTTATAGTAATAAAAGGAACAAAAGGAAAACATCACATTTTGACCAACACTTTAGCATCGAAAACAGTACAGAAAAATAAAGAGCATAAACTCCAAGCACATGGCACAGGATGCAAAAACATACTCCAACCTTTTTAGACATTCATTGATTTATCTCTTGCTACATTATGAGCTTCTCTTGTCAGTGTGGTCAAAAACCCAAACAGGCAGACATCTATGGGAGATCCTTCAACTTCCTTAAGCCTCTCGAATTAGTGCATGCCTAATTTATTGAAGTATAGATAGAAAATAGGAAAGCAGACACAGGAAAAGCTTCAAATAAGTGGTCATGCCTGCCATGCCACCTGGCACGGATGTCAGCTACCTCACACAGAGCACACCAACAGCTGCAGTGGAAGAGCTGCTGATGTCTGTAAGGATGCAGCTTTGCTTGCCTCACTGAACCCAGTGCCCACAGCCTATGCCAATCTAAGCCAGGTGAGAGCTGATGGCTCTAGCAGGGGTGGCTCACAGGACTGTCCCCACTGCCCATTTCTCCTCTGTGCTCCCCTCCCTTGCCCTTCAGGAGCAGCTATAAGCCACTTTGAGTAATCTGGGAACAGGTTTGGCTAGGTAACACTGCTACTGGCTACAGGACTTCACAGTGAAGTCATCGAGGAACCTGCAAATACACTCTTCTGCCAAACAGGTTGAAAATACTTCACCCATCACAGCTGTTCCCACCGTGAACATCAGCTTAAGAGATGCTTCAAATTGCTTTATGTGTTTTTAAATCAACAATTTCACACATTTAGCTATGATGACTTAATTTAGCTGAAGTAACTCTCTGACTTCTTCTAGCTTTAAAGTTCTTTGAATGGAGATGTCAGGTGGTTATTGCTTACATTTTCATTGTAAATCCAGCTGCTTTACTCCTTGTTTCAAAACAGATGCCTCTGAAATCTGGTCATGTAAACCAAATGCAAAACCATTACAGTCAGTGCAGAGACTGACATTGCCTACAGTGAGTTTTGGATCAGACTCTATACCTGTGCCCTTTTACCCTGGTTGTATTCTCTTCTGTCATATTATTTGCCTTTGAGCTGACCTAAAGATTGTCAATCAAATTCTACCTTTAAGCTATCAGTTCAGCAGCTGCAAAGAGCTTCAGTGTTCAGACCAGAAAAGAATGGGAAAAACAGCAGAATACAAAGCATTAGAAAGGCTATCAATTTGCTGAGCCCACTATTGACTTTCCCTGAGTAGAAGATGAAATTTGGAAGGCTTAATGAATTCTGCATCTGTCATTCTTACCTAAACTTCTCATGTAAAAATAATGGATAAAACCACAGAATTTGACTTGTGAAGAAGGAATCAACACTGGAAGATCACTCTTGGGAGCACTTGCACTTTTTTGCGTATGTAACGCCTACAATCTGGAGTGCACTCAACAAAGGCACAGTACAACTAATCAAAACCAGCAATAAACAAGATTTCTATCTTTTAAGGCTCTGGTCTTGATTATCTCATGCAGCCACAGGGCTTTTGCTACCTTAGGCTTCTTACATGTGCCTATCAATGTGCCTACAGCAGCTGCAATGTGCAAGGATAGCTGCTATCACAAATGCAAAACACTCTTAATTCCAAGAGATGTCTCTTAAGGCCTCATGGTATTTAAGGCAAGAGAAGAAACAAAGGCCATCTGTTACTGCAAGCTAAATAACAACTGAGTTATCTACACATAAGAATTACCAACTACATCCCCAAACCATCGTTTTCCATGCCATCTTCATTACAGCTTTTCTTTTTTATACACTAAATAGTATAGAAATCTTCCTGTAAAATAGGAATTTGGTATTTATTGACATTTTGTAGAAAAACCAAGACAAACAAAGTTTTAAAATAACCATTCTGGCCATAAAAGTCTTAGTATCAAATTTCTGCAAAAAGGAACTGAAGTACACATTTACAATAAATGTGCAGGATAGTTGACATATTTCTCTGGTGATTCAGCTCTTCATTGTAAGAAAAAAGAAAACTAGCAAACAAAACCCCCCACTAATACAAGTCATTTAGCATTCCTTACCTTGGAACCTGCCAACATAGTTTTCAGCATTTTTGTTCCTTTTCCAATACCAACCACTGCAAAGACAGAAGAAGAAATACAACTTCAAAACCAGCTCTGCAGTTCCCTTATCCAACACCATTCACTACTAAATATTATGCTAGTCAGAAACACAGCCTTTCATGCTGTTAGCATATGAAAAGACTAAAGGCTTTTGAGAAAGCATCTCTGATGTTCAACACAGGACTAGTGACAGGAATATAAGTCTAAAGCAGGAGATAAATAACCCTCATATATTGTTAAAATACTTTCATTCAACCCCTAGATTTAGTTATATTTTAATCACCAAAGAAATTCACTGTTCAATTAACAGTGTCTCTGGTTTGATGAAGGCTATGGCTCACTAATAACAAATGTAGTCACCACTGTAACCAAACAGCCCTTTTAAAGGTAGGATAGTGACCAAGAGTAATGCAGCCAAGACAGCATAATGAAATTGTTTATCAGGCTTACAGCAAGAAAATAAAATAATCCAAAGGTTCAACTGCCTCAGTCAAAAAATCTTTTATAATCAAACCTTCCTATTGCTGTGCACATAGAGACTACTGTCATCTCAATCTTACTCCAGTGTTCTCAAAACCAGCAATCAGTTAGCTTTTCATAAAAGAAAGAGACAGAAAAAGAGTTCTATTTTATATTTTACTTTAAAGCTTTTTACAAGGTGCTTTCCCTTCAAATGCTTTCCTATTGATTTTTTCCACATAGAGCAATCAGAAGAAAATTTTAGAAGTAAATTACTTCTGTGTACAACTCATGGAATACATAACAGCTGATGCACTTGATTTTAATAAAATTACAGGAGTTAAGGCAGCTTGCAGGAAATCAGCTTTGTGTTAACTAGGAGCCAGGACCAAAAGCATCAAACGGACAAAAAAAAAAAGCAAATACTTTACTTGTGCTCTAAAGCTTCTCAGTCTTTACACTTTGAGACTCATTAGATTCTTTCCTATTCTCAATTACTTCTCCTCTTGTTCCTAAGGGGTTTTAGTCACACATGCCTTTGTGCTTGTGCTTTTGTGTACCTTCAGTTCAGCCTGTTCCTGTCATTTGCCAGAGAGGAAAAAGCTGCATGAAGGCTGAGAAAAGGAGATAAGTACATAGATAAAACTTTATAAGCAAGCACTCTTCTTGCAATGTGATGATGTCACTGACACTTCAACAGCTGAGCTGAAACTTGCTGAAGAGTGTCAAGAGATTCAACAGAATAATTTTAAAGAGACACTGAATGCTTTTGTGAACAAGACACTAACACTTCTCCCAACTAATCATCAACTTGTGTACAATGTCTATTATTGAATGGTGACAAACTAGACTTACCAGACTACATTGAACATAACAAGATTTAACTGGATTTTTGGGTTTTGCACTTTTTCATGTTTTCTTCTACTACAGAAGCACAGTTCATTACTGCCATATAAAAACGAGCCAAATATTTACAATTACCATTATACAGCAAGAAACACTAAACTGGAACCACAGTACTAGAATGATACTAAAAAGACATTCACTAAGACTTGACCTTGCCTTTCTCTTACATGTCATAGATCACTGACCTCTGTCTCCAAGGTCCTTCCTCATCTACATTTGCTGACAGTAGGGAACGAAATATAAAAGTACTATTTTCTCATGAAAAGCACTGCTCAGTTATTGGCAGTGCACTTGGCACACAAAGCAAGACTCAGTACCACCTACTTCCCATGAACAAAGTTACAGACATGAAGTACATACAATCTGTGAAACAGCAGTATATATCAAGAAAGGTTTCAGAAATAAGTACTACTATTATGCTACTGTCCCTGAGGAAAAAGCTTTCTGCTCCACCACCCCATCCTGGAAAGCAGCACACATATTCTGAGTAACTTGTTTCTGTTGTGTCCTTCCCTCTCTCCTCATTATCTTACCCAATCCCACAAGAAATCTGAGCACATTCCCTTTCTCACTCGCCTCCAGTTTTGTCCTTTCTGATCTAGCTACCATTGATTTTTCCCCGTGTGTTTTGTATGGCAGTGGAATGAAAGACCCTATGCCTTTTTCAATCGATCCACAGCATATTAAGGTGATGTGCTTCTCTGTCTTTACCAAGCACATCAAGCCCAAGCACTTTTTGTCACGCCACAGAGACAGGCTTGGGTATCAGAGAACAGTAGGAGAAGCAATTAAGTAGTACGAGTGATTTTTCTTTTCCTATGGATCAATGCTGTTGACTTCCCACAATGAGCAGTAGAACACTCAAAGGCAACGTCTGTGTAAAAGGAAAATGTATGCTTCAGCAAAACACACAGAATTCTCCTGGGAATGGTCACAGGGTATTGTAAATTGGAACAAAACAATCTAGTGCTCACTGCTAGCCCAAGAACGTTCCATTTTGCAATGTTCACAGGTGACAACCACCAGCCCACAGGCCTCGACCAGCAACATTCACAGAAACCAACCTCCCCTTGAAGCACAACAGCTCTTTCTGAAAGCAGTCATACATCAAAACTCAGGGCATTGCTTTTAGTGCATGCTCATAGTTGTACCTGTTGATTTTCAATAGCAAATACATATTGCTGTCATTTCTTCAAGCCAAGTGGAGCTACAAGGCTATGATTTAACCAAGCTGTAGTTTGCATAGTACTTTATCCATAAAACTGTTGGTGACAAAGTATGATGTGGGAATAACCACACCCACAGTTGAGTTTTCAACACCAGCAATTAACATGTTCTGTCCCTTAACAAAACAAAGGAATGTGATAAATGGATTGCTATGAAAATCAAAAGACAAAATTTATTTTATGACCCTTCTTTATGAAGCAATTCAGGACAGAAATCAAAAACTCTTTCTGTGTTGAGCCTCAAAAAAAGCAGTAGCTGAATTATTCTCACACATCTTTCATTTGGTGAGTATTACAACACAAAAGGCTCCTTCGAAATGCCAGAAAAGCATTATTTTGGAAAAAAAATATTTCAGCAAATTATGATGACTATAAATCCCCAGCTTAAGTAAAAAAACCCATCAATTTCTGAGGCAATTTACAATTCATTACACAAGAGTCTGTATTTTCATGTAATAAACCACAAGCTATTTCAGGAGTTTGGGGAGATGGGAATGGGGAATATAGTCTTAAGAAACACATTATATACTTGGAAAAGTATACGCAGAGGAAATTTAACCCAGACTACTCTTCCACAGTAATCTGTCCACCACCCAAAACCTGCCATGTGTATCCTAAATTATTCCTCCACCTCTGATTTCATGTAGGCATGAAAATGTTTCCTGAAATCATCTTTTGATGACAGTAATTATGTTTTTCATTACCCAGAACTCCTGCTGCTGCACTGTCCAGAGTTCCTCCATGTCCAATTTTCAAAACCTGATTTCTTTTGTTCCCATTTGTTTGCACTCCAGCTTCTGCAAAGAGAAATTGAAAGGAAGCATTGCAGGATGACCTCAGAACAGAGGAAAAATAGCACACATTTCCATATTGCTAAAGGAAATAAAAATCAAATATTTAAACTATTAATCAGCAGTGCAGAAATTACTGTACTGCAGAAGACCAATGATTCATCTAGATCTACTCCCAACAATCTACTCTTCAAACAATTTGCAAGCTAATTCCATTTAGATTCTAATGAAGTCTCACACACCGTTACAAACAGATGTTCAGAAAATACTGCCAGAAAACTTGGTTCACCTGTGAAGTTTTATTAACAAAGCATGCAAGAACTACCAGCTGAGTTCCTAAATCAGCTATTATTGACAAATTTTATGCTGTATAATCTGAGCAATTCCTATTGTATTTACTGCCCTGTATTGGGACATGTTTATTTCCACATTTGCAGCCCTATGGAAACTCTGTAGTGACCTGAACTTGCTCACCGCTCCTTTCAAGCTGTCAGTGTCTCAACCCACTATACTCCCTGTGCAGCTGACAACTCCAGAAATTTTGCAGTGCCCAATGCCCCTTATTTATTAGCATTTAATATGACAAATATTATCTATTTCTATTACCTCTACATTATGTCTTTCACTTAAGGGAATCAGACTCTTCCATACAAAACTGAAGTCTGTGCCTACACTAAAATCCACAACAGAGTAAATCAGCCTCAATAATCACTCACTGGTGTGAAAACATGTTCTCACTCCACCAGCAAGTGCCCAAAAGCCTAGATGTGATGACCAAGTCCCCATAACCACTGCAAAAAGAATCTAGGACACTGCCTCTCACACCTTTGCACCGATCACACTTTTTTCCCTAACATCTCACATCCAGCTTCCCTGTAGTCAGAAAAAGCAGTTTCTGCAGTGTGTGTGCAGGACTTTCAAACTCCTTGAAACACTGGAGTTTCCATTCACTTGTTTTTGAACAGCAGCAGGCAGTGGGGCCACAGGGAACATCCTGCCAGCACTGAGCCGCAGAGATGCTGCTGACTCCCATCCTGATGGGCACACACCGACCCTGGGCTATGCCTGGCAGCTCCCCAGGCAGGCTGGGACCCCCTGCACTGTGTCTGCAGCTTTCTGCTGGGGCAGATCTCATCCCCATCCGAACTGCAGGTCACACCACGCTGTACCTTAGGTGGTAAGAGGTGCTGCCCCATAGAGCCAGTGGTGAGTATGGCTGTGCTGGTTTTAGCTGGGATGGAGTTAATTTCCTCGGTAGCTCCTGTAGTGCAGTGTTTGGATTCAGAGTGATAATACTGTTAATAGTACACTGATGTTTTGGTTTCTGCTAAGTTGTGTTTATCCTAAATCAAGGTACACAAGAAAACTGGGAGGGAGCATAGCTGGGACAGGTGAGCTGAACTAGCCAAGCATGGCATGTCATGCTCAGTATATAAGCAGGAAGGGGCCGATCCTCATGGGGCTGTGTTGGTCCACAGGTGCTGAGCAATTGGATTG